AAATGTTTTATTTACTCAATAGGACAAATTTTAAAAAGCGATAAAAAGGAAAGGTGATATTATACTGAGTTAGTAATCGAACGTTTTATGACAAAATCTTATTTTAATGTAATTACTAAAAACATGTTACAAGACCTCAGAAATGGTACAAAATGAAAAGCTTACTTTTATGACAAAATCAACACCAATTACGTTTCTGCTACTATTGAGTTTAAGCTTTAAACCTTGAAGTTCTAAAACAATATTGCAGAGCTTGTCGTCGTCAATTTGAACAAGTACTTCTTGTTTTTCATGCTTTTTATTATAGTGATGAATGAAATCTTCTAGCATTGGTGTGAACAATGTATACCACGTTAAGCCATCTTCGTGATCTTTGAGACTCATTCTCACGTCTGTGGTCTTTTTGCTCTTCGATATCAGGAATCGAGACTGGCAGTGGCCACATCTTAGCATAGACTCCTGATGAAATAGGACTTTTTTAGCACAGTTGACGCAGCTATAGAAGATCTGTATGTCAGCAGAATTGATGTTCAGGCATGATATTTCGTCTAGTCTCAGCTTGTCCAGGGCCTGTCGAATGTGCTSCTGAGGGATGGTCTTGGGTGCACCATCGTCAATTTTCTTGAAGATGGTATCAGTGGATGCTGAAAGATATTTCTCTCCAAAGTACTGACGGAGACGAATGTTTTGGACTTCGTAAAATCCTTCTGCGATAARTTCGATCTGTTCATTCCAGAGCGTAATAAGTACAGATCCCGTCTCATCTACTAGGCAACCTTCTCTTTTTGTTAGRTCTTTCTTAGTTGGAATTTTCTCTGGTTGTCGAAAGTACAAAACCTTTSATTGAAATGCTTTGGTGAATCTGAACTTCTTCCAAGTCTCGCGTTGTGCAGAGGGGAGCTTCTGCTGTATTAACGGTTTCTTTACTAAAATCAACTGTCGTTTCCAACGCATCATTTATCTGAGTATTAGGGTTCACCCAAATAACATTGGCTTCTGATGCATGCATGGAGAATTTGCTGATCTTGCAAGGAGTGCCACTTTCTGCCTTCCTTTCGACGATTGGCTTGTGTTTTCGAGGCGAGAAGGAAATTGCTTTGATTACTGCATTTCTTTGCTGTAGTTGAAAGGAGAAATATTCCGATCCTTTTCTAGACACTTTTGTAGGGCCGACATTTTGGATATATCCTAATAGTCACTGGTTCGGTAAGTTGTTGATGATGGCGATATTGGCGGGACTGTAGAAGTTGGAGGAAGCGAACTTGTAGTCGGCTCTTCAGAGACGTGGCTGTAATAAAGAAATCAAACTTATATAAATTGAAATGTTTAGTATTGAACTTAATATGTTGAAGTATTATATCGTCTTTACCTTTCGTCACTTTTTTAGCGCTTTTGGGTGGCATACTTCTGAAGACGTCACACACTGTAGTAGAAGAGGGCATACACCTATAGTCATTGAGGTGATTTTCGTCCTTTTATACTGATCCAAAGCATCGAAATTCGTATGATATGGTTTGCGGCTATTCAACACTCTTTGTTGATTGTTCAATSATATGTAGGCCGCTCAACTCCTGCTTAAAACATATGGACGATGAGGAAACGCAAAAAGAATTAACRTAAGTGTCAAAAAGAAATGAGGAAAAACAGAACTGCGCCTCTCAAATGAACGGATGAGCAGTTAAAAATAAAGGTTGTCTTCTTGTCACTGTGCTCTCTTTSTCTAAAAAATATCCTTTCAATTTTGACATGCATTGTCTGATACATGTGTCGCCTTCGAGACTTTCTCGTGATATCTATACTTTCATAGTGTCCAACTTTTCAGTTCGTTAAAAAATTAAGATGGACTGAAAATATGAAATAAGTTGCTCACTTTTATTGACTTTTAAAATTCGGTCTAGAACTATTTCATACAAAGACAATTTGTTTTGTGAAACGCTCTTTATGGAGAAACCCAACGTTGTCACATATATTAATTAGGGGCCATAACAAGAGAAAATCTTAGGAAAAATCCACACTACGAACATAAAACATAAGAAAAACAAACATATGTAAGTTCAAGGAATTGTGTTCAAAATATTTTMAAGTTTTTATWTWWACWTACGTTCAGTAGAGWTTGGGTTACCTGTCATATTGCACAGCTATAATGATACAATATCAGACGCTTAGCAGACGTTGACGCGTAGTCATTAATAGATATAAACATTTCTCGGCAAGAGTGAATGTAATGGAGTATTTTGTTAACTTATTYAAACTGGTATATTTTCAAGATAAGATTGATAGACACTAATGAGATAATGAAATGCAGAAAAGTCAAGGCTGTAATAAGGTATCATACTYCAAACAAGCAAAAAGAACCTGAGAAATTCTTTTGTCATTTGTTAATGCTCTACTATCCATGGAGAGATGAGAACAAACTATTGGCTTCTGATGGTACATATGCTACAACATACCATGACCCTCATATACAACCTATAGTGGAACATAATAGGTCTACCTTTGAGCCTGATACAGATGCTGTTACTGAAGCTCTTGAAAGTCAATCAAGGCAACATTCATTCTTATGATTCAATGAATGATCAAGAAAATGATGATATACACTCTCTATTTGCTGGGATAAGTATTATTGCAGAAGGAGATTTTTATCAACTACCACGAATATAGAAAAAGCCAGTATTTGAGAATTTTAACATTGATACACATAACCTGTGTCATCCCTGGCATATTTTAAAATGACAGASCTTATCGATAATATGCGTTCCAAAGATGACCAACCAYTTGTTGAAATGTTAAACAGATTTCGGACTGCTTCCCAGACTGAGCACATTCAACTCAGGAACAATGTTCAATCTTAGAGCAGCAGACCAGTATCCTCCAAATGTATCCCAAACAGATATTGACAGAGTATTGTCTAAAGGACGGTCTGACACTGGTGGACTAGATTATAACATACATATCAAAGAAGGTGCAAGGGTTATGCTAACAAGCAATATCAATATTGCAGACAAATAGGTACTATCATTAAAATACATGTTAACCAAAATACACAAAAAACAACTGTTATTTACATTAAATTTGATGATGATCAAGCTGGAAAAACTGTAATCAGTAAGTCTATCAATCAATTTGTTAACGAAAACAATGTTGTTCCCATTGAGCCAATTCATGCTAACATCAAAATAAGGCCTGGTAAACCATCTTCACCAGAAATTGAGAGAGTCCAATTTCCCATTACATTAGCATATGCAGTTACTATAGATAAAATTCAAAGGCTCGGTGTAGATAAAGTTGTAATTAGTTTTGAGTTATTCCGTCAAAGGTCATTTAACTATGGACAAGTATATGGTAGCCTTAAGTCAGTCACATTCATTAAATGGACTATACACTAAACATGTCAGAGCTGACCCAAGGGTACATAAAGAATATCAGAGATTAAGAGAAACACTACCACTTGAACCATAAAAAGAATACCAAGAAAACAAGTTGACATTGACTATTTGACTTCTAAATGTCAGGTCCTTGAAGAAATACAGTATTGATGTAGGACATGACTCAAATTTATTTGATACTGATATGATATGCTTTACAGAAACACAACTTTTACCAAACATCAATGACATTGAAATAAAAAATAATCTACATCCCTTTAAACTACTCAGGCAAGATCATGCTTCAGATAGATATTCCAGTTTAGCAATATCTTCAAAATCTCATGTCGAAATCACAGAATATCACTACTTTGCTGAACTAAATGCAATAACATTGTCTCTTGTTCATAGTATAATGCAAAATATAAACATCAAAATACTTTTACTTTATTGCAAGAATGTCCGCAATATTCTTCAATATATACAAAGACTAGAAAGTGTATTAAANAACTGTTATTTACATTAAATTTGATGATGATCAAGCTGGAAAAACTGTAATCAGTAAGTCTATCAATCAATTTGTTAACGAAAACAATGTTGTTCCCATTGAGCCAATTCATGCTAACATCAAAATAAGGCCTGGTAAACCATCTTCACCAGAAATTGAGAGAGTCCAATTTCCCATTACATTAGCATATGCAGTTACTATAGATAAAATTCAAAGGCTCGGTGTAGATAAAGTTGTAATTAGTTTTGAGTTATTCCGTCAAAGGTCATTTAACTATGGACAAGTATATGGTAGCCTTAAGTCAGTCACATTCATTAAATGGACTATACACTAAACATGTCAGAGCTGACCCAAGGGTACATAAAGAATATCAGAGATTAAGAGAAACACTACCACTTGAACCATAAAAAGAATACCAAGAAAACAAGTTGACATTGACTATTTGACTTCTAAATGTCAGGTCCTTGAAGAAATACAGTATTGATGTAGGACATGACTCAAATTTATTTGATACTGATATGATATGCTTTACAGAAACACAACTTTTACCAAACATCAATGACATTGAAATAAAAAATAATCTACATCCCTTTAAACTACTCAGGCAAGATCATGCTTCAGATAGATATTCCAGTTTAGCAATATCTTCAAAATCTCATGTCGAAATCACAGAATATCACTACTTTGCTGAACTAAATGCAATAACATTGTCTCTTGTTCATAGTATAATGCMAAATATAAACATCAAAATACTTTTACTTTATTGCAAGAATGTCCGCAATATTCTTCAATATATACAAAGACTAGAAAGTGTATTAAACACCTTTAAAATTGATATAGYTTTTGGAGACTTTAATATAAACTACTTCAATAATAATGAAATTCAGGCGCTTAATACTAYCATGGAACAATTAAGCTATATACAAACAGTTGAAGGACCTACATTTATATCAGGAAGTTTATTAGACCATGTTTRTATAAGAAATGCAATGTGGAATTTAACATTATTACATCTATAGTCCCAGTGTATTACTCTGATCATGAARCAATTAAAATTTCATTAACTTTCAAATAAATTTGAAACATCTTATATACATTCTGTATTACAGCTTCAAGAYAAAATCAAAACACTTTACTTTTAAAAAATCATTTCTAGACTACAAGTGTACAAGACAAACAATTATGATACACCGAGCCTCTTTCTCTCCCACACTGTAAGTGGRAAATCTAGCAGACACCTCTTATAACTTGAGGTGTCTGTCAATAGTCTGCATGTTATAGAACAAGGTATGTATGAAAACCAAAGTAGACTTACTTTTAAAAATAGCAAACTATTAGAAATACTTTGATATATTTAAATATTGACTACTACTTTATACATTATCCAATTATAGAAACTGAAATTACCTGGAATTGTTTCACATGCTTCAAAGCAGAACAAATTATGGAGAAGCAAAAAAATATAATACTTCAGGAATCTAAAACAACGAAACACTGGAAATGGATTCAACTAAGCTACTTAAACAACCAAGGAAACAAAGGAAAACAAAAGTTAGGAGCAAATATATTTATAACTCAAAATACAGTAAATACAGTAGATTGGAAGTATGGATCCAATAAAATCTTCATTACAATGTACTTGACAACATCTTCTACTGATACGGAAAGTGTGGAAATATAAAGCCTTCATAAAATATACTTACACATTGCAAAAAGACTAATATCTGTATGGTCTTAAACAGATTTTATATCAAAACATGAACCAMATATCTAAATTCAGTAACAGACACCAGAATTTAAACAAAAGACCAAATTGCTATTGGAACATTACATGGATCATCATCAACATCACAAGACTAGCCAGCACGAAGTAACCACTGATTTTGACAAATAAGAAAGTAGTGCTCTGATGACAAAGCAATCAAAATCACAAAATCACATGAATTCCTAATATTCATTTAGATTTATAAAAAAGAATGTAATCTGCAACGTAGATTAAAATAAAGAATTTTTCCAAAGCTAAGCTTAAAAGCTTTGAACCTTGAACATTCTGTTGTGTTGACAAGACTTAAATAACAAAA